TCCTGCGCGCTGCCCTCCCCCCGCGGGTGGGCTCCGCAGCCCCTGGCCCGCCGCGGCCCCTGCTCGGCGGCGGCCCTCACCCTCCACGAGGGCGGCCCAGCCCGTGTGCCCCATCCCGGGGGCTCCTTCTCCTACCCGTAGCTCCCCTGCGGAGCTGGCTCGGGCACCCAACTTTGCCTCTTCGCCTGTCGCCCCCGCTGGGCGCGAACCTGCTCACCTCCGGCCCGGCCGCGCGCCCGGGGACAGTGTGCCTGGCGCTCAAGCCGGCGCTCCTAGCCCAGAGCGCAGGGAGCGGGGGGGGGGGGTGGCTCTGGGGAAGTGGCAGGGGGCGGCGGCGGCTGCTGCCTCGACTTCTCTTGCTGGGCGCTGAAGAGGACACTCAGAGCCGCTCCGGGGCCCCAGGCACTGGATGACTGGCACGAGGAGCGCGCCTTGCACCTGGTGAGCGACTCCCCGCCCCGTCCCCGCGTGGCCGTGGCCGCAGCCCGGGCCGTGCCGCGTTGCTGGCGGGGACCCGGGGGCGGCAGTGGTCGGCGGGTGGGTCGTGTCGATCTCGGGCAGGGTCGATCTCCAGGCAGTGGGCGGGGGACAGCCTGTGGTTGCGCGTACAGGATTAGGACCACTATCAGTGCGGGGGCGCCCACACTTGAGCTAATGCACGGGCTGGAAGTTTGTGTCCCTGCCTTTGCCGAGGTCTGAGCGTGCAGAGGTAAGGAGCGGAAGCAACCCAGTGGGCGACCGGGCGGTGGGAGAGTCGGGACCCCTAGCCAACACCTCCTGAAGGTGCGCAGTGGAGGTCTGTGCACGCACCCGGCGCGCGTCCCGGCTCGCATCGTCGGGGGTGAAAGGCGGAGGGTCCGGGGGGTCCGGGCTTCGCAGTCCTGTAGCCGCCGCTTCGCAGATGCAATCTCGCCGCTCCGCGGGCTGGGGCAGGTTTTTCTGTTCGAGTTACAGGGGTTTTGTTTTGTGGCTCTCGTGAGAAACCGGGAGGTAGTGGGACTTGGGCTCAACTCCGCCAAGCGCTCTGGTTAATGAGGGAGACAGGCTGGGGGCCGCCCTGAACGCCGCGGCCGGGGATGCAGAGGCCCGGGGAACCGCCTGCCTGGTGGGCTGCAGCCAGGCGAGTTCCTTTCCGCGGGCATCTCTCCGCCGCTCCACGGATTTCGCATCCCCTGGCTCTGGGTTTCGGGACCGGAGGTAGATTCTGGGCCCCAGAGGGAACTGGTCCTTCCAGGATACGCTGGGAACCGCCGCGTATCTTGGAGTGATCTCCCCGGGGTCGCTCCCCGCGGCGCCCGATGCCTGGCCCAGCACTGTCAGATCCCGATTCCCGGGGCTTTGGCGGGAAGCGCGTTTACCTCCTCGCCCTTTCCTCGCTTTGTACCTGGATGCGGCTGCTGCGAGTTGGGTTTTAACTTTCCTGTGCCTGCTGCGTCCCGGGGACCCCCGGCAGGGGGCGCTGAGAGCGAGCGCTGGAAGAGGGAGAGAGGATGCTAGGAGCAATTATTCTCTCCTGGGTGAGTCGGTGGGGGTCCTAGTTAGCAAACAGCAGGACCAGGCAGATCTTGCGATAATTTTATTGGGGTGAAGGGGGGGGGCTGATCTGTTGACCAGTGGAAGCTGTCAGCCTTGCTAGAGGGACAGGAAAGGTGTTTGCCAACACAAGTCCTCCAAATAGAAAGGTTCCTTCCAGAGACAAACGTATCCCAGCAAACTCTTCCTGTCTGTGCCTCTGTCTTCCTCCTTGTGACTATTGTATTTACTCAAAAAGAAATCGAAATTGAGTGAGGATAATGTGAGGTATGTTTAATACTGACAAAGTTCTGCTCCTCAGAATTACGTTAGTTACAACGCCAGGAGTTACAAATGATTGTTGTATCTTGTTTTTAAGAAAAACAATTGTATGTCACAGTTAGCTTATCCAGAAGGGCTCTGTCATAACGGCCAAGTTTGGAAACAGCAGATATGTTCTTAATTACAGAGTTAGTCTTTCCTAAGGAGACACAGAAAGACGAAAACAGATTTTACTAGGGAAGATTTTTAACACCTAATTAGGATTGGGAAATTAATTGCTAATTAATGCCAGTTTCATTATTGAAGAGAGAGTAAAGTTTATCATGCACTATTCTGAGTGACCAGTTCACAATTTCAGTTAAAGCAGAGAATAACTTGAGTTGTGTATCACTTAAATGACTTTTCTTATCTATGCCTGTGTTTACCCCAAAGGAAATATGGAATGTTTACCCCAAAAGATGTTTGTTCATGTTTGTTTTAAATGAAAAAGCAGTCTGAAATGTGTTTGGGCCACTTGAAACAGATTTCTTTTTCCTTGAGTTTCTTTCTTGTAAAAACTTTGCCATGAAATAGCAGCTCATCCAAGATGAGGTGTCGCATGGTCACGCTAGTTATTTGCATACTCGTGGAACCACAGGTGATGAACTGGTATCTGCTTGTATGTGCTTTTAGACTTTAAGTACTTTTCTTAACAGGAAGAAGATGGATGAAGCTAATCATTTTATGCCTTTTATGAATTGCACTAACTTATTTGGTTGTTTTAATGGCAAACAGCTGCGAGATCCCTGCTGCGAGCAAAGACTTTGGTCTCTTGGGTGGTAAAGCTTGTCTCTGTCTAAGAGAAGTTTCTGAGATGTTCAAAATTTGGTAAAAATAGACCAGTGTTCTTCACTGCCGGTTCCTTTTAAAATGATTTCTTCACCACGTCTGGATAGTATGAACCAGAAATGTATAGTGCGGTGGCTGTTACAAGTTGTTGGCTACAGGACCATAATGAGTATATGCACATTCGTGCAAACTTTTGCTTCAGTTTCGGAGGGTTCATGGACCTTCTGAAGCCCCATCCCTGGCTTTGCAGTAAGAAATCTTGCTTCAGAGTCTTCTCAGGGACAAATGTTAAAACGAATAAACTTTTCTCTGTGTTGTGTACCAATTGCTCAAAATAACAGATGCCGCTCCTTGGGACTATGTCAAATGCTAATGATGTTAGACAGAGCTGTTTAACTGAATCACTGCATAGTTTTTATCAATTTAGTGATTATTTTTAATGAATCCAAATGTCCTTTTCTTTTTTTTCATTATAAAGTCATGGAAATTGAGATTTTGCTTCTGGTACAAATACGGGAAAGTGGGGGAGGGGGAAACAGAACTTTGCTAAATGTCCAGCCAAAGGTTTATAAAGGCATTCCATTATGTAAACAAGTAATCATGAACTCAAGGGTTAACTAAGATTAGACACTAATCCCAAAGAAAAGGTTTGGATTACAAATGATGTAGTTTGCAAGATAGAACAAATTAATTAGGTTATAGTATATCCAAGTCAAGGAATCCATTTTTGTAGTAGTGTATGTAGGAGTATTTGGAAAAAGTAGTCCCACATCCTGCAGTAAATCCTCTATAATTCTTGATTCTAAAATTATACCAAATTTGTATTTAAAAATGCTTCTGAAATTGTTGCTATAGTTACCCAGACAAATTGCTTAGGGTATAATTATAACACTAAGGTGACAAATTTTTATGTTTAGTGTTAAATAATTTTTAAAATGTAAATTACTGTGTCTAACAAATTGAGTTACACCAGAATGCAAAGGGTATAATGTAGAACCTTGTACATTTCTGCCCACCTGCATCTATTTGCAAATTTATAAGAGAAAGTGAACTATTTTCTTGAGTCCTAAGATGAGTATATATAAGTGCTTTGTTTATACCATCTTTGTGTACTGTTGTTGACAACATAGACATTTTCACATAGGTTCCCTTTTATGCAACCTTTTTAAATTGAGATGCAGAAATTTTGTTGAAAATTACTGGGTTTTATCACTCTGTTTGTTGCCTTGTAGAAATGATCTGCCATAGATAGGGGGCAATCTTCTGTCTCTAATATCTGCACAAATGGGTAGCATCATAAAGATAAATTCAACAGGTGAAGAGTAGCTCATTGGAAAGCAGTTTGAAGAGACAGCTTTCGGTATGCTTGATAAATATATTGTTTTTTTCTTTGGTGAATTTGTCACGTAGGGGTTATCCAGATATATGGAATCAATTTCTAACAGCAAGAAAAGAAGAAAAAAAAAATTAAAGTAAACTAGAATATACATAGATAAACTTTTTACTTGCAATGAATCTATTCAAAACTTGTTTTGATTCAGAATTTAAGCCAAACAGAACAAAGCAAATGGAAACTTGATCCAAGGGAAGGTAGTGTATAAGGAGTAATTTATTATAACATACTGGTATTGACACAATCTTTGCCATCTAAAAGGTTCTAGAACTAAGGAAACCTGGCTCATAATTTTATGGAGTACTTTGAAGCCAGGCAACTTCAAAGACAAGTTATATTTCACCTGTGGCATGACATTTAAAATAGGATTAACCCATCAGTGGGCTCAAGAAGACAGAAAATTTTCCCAAAGGATTTTCTGTTGTCTTCTTTTTCTTTACCTTTTTTTTTGTCCAAGATTAATGGTTGTTTGACAAGAGCAAAGATGAGCACATTTTATTTTCCTTTCCTAAGTTTTAAAATATATTGGCATAGTCCTGTTGAATTTGGAAAAAATAAAATCATTCCATTCTTTATTCTTTTTCACGTGTATAGTATAATTGGTTTCCTGATTAATATTGAAAAACACTATATTTTAAAAAAGAATAAATGTTTTAGGGAGTGAATTTCTGTTATTTCTAGG